GGGCGGGGGGGGGGGGGGGGGGGGGGGGGACCATCTAGAGCCATTCATTGACATCGTATGACAGGCGTAGAGCGGACATTCGGTCGACGGAACATCGGACAATGCACGGCCAATGCGGATTTGCCAGGGTCTGCTCGTCGCCAACGCTAGGCCCCGGAAGAACGGAGGCTGTCCTTGGCCAGATTTCCTCCCCCCCGCGCTCGGAAACTTGCAAGACCCTGTACCGCCCGAGCCTTGCGAGCGCTCTCGAGCCGCTCTCCAACGGAAAACAATGCGATTTGACAGGGCAAGCTGACGCCAACACATCCGCTCATCCGACGACAAAGCACGCACGGTCCTGCATACCAGCCGTAGCGCTGTAGCGCTGTACCTTGTCGACCTCTGCCTGTCACGTGTGCCGGAGGGAGGCGGTCAAGGTCGCAAGACACATCTGGTTGATTGATCTGTGCGGCTCGAACACGTTCAATGGAGTCAAGTCTCATCCAGCGCTTCAGGCAGGGCACTGCGATCAGCTCGAAATTGTACTTGCGAAGATCAATCGAATACATCTCAAGTCTCTCGTCAATCGCTTTCTCCCGATTCATCGTGGCTCTCGGAAGACGTGCGCCAACGACGGACACAGTTGTTGCGGTCTTGAGAGCCGGTGTTGCTGCGCAAACTCGTATTGTTTGCAGCCCCACGCCACGTCGCAGCTTGTGCGGAATCACAGGCTGCATCATACCATCACGTGCGGAAGCTAAATGACCGCAAGTGCGGGTCACAAGTGCAGGTCAAATTGTTCGGCGTTGAGGATTCGCCAAAGCGGTGGCGTTCCAGTGTTCAGCATGCAGGTGATGCTTTGGGTCTCTGACTCGTCGTCTTCGCCAAGCTGAGCTCATACCGCGGCTCGAACACTTCTGTGCCACGGGTGGGGCTCTTCATCCGCTCGTCTCGGCGGTCGGTCGTGACCATTGCCGCGATCAATTTCACTTCATCTCGCTCTCGAAAAAGTCACAGGCGTGTTGATTACGCATGCGTTCGGAACGAGCATGTCAGTGCCGTTTTCTCAACGGAGAGATAGAAAGGGCGAAGCTGTTGATCCTTTAGAACGCCATCATGGCCGTCTGTGGTGCGGCATTCTTACTTTTCGGTTA